GTCCTTTAATGCCCCGCCCACGCAACGTCCTCAGCCTGGCGGAAAGGTATGTCAAATTTTATCTTAAGTTCTGTTGTTAGAAAGGTCTGGTTGTTTTTGGTATGGCGGCTAATAGAAGTCATAGACATCTGATCTAGTGAAACGGCGATACTCTACTCGATTTAACAATCTTCCCTCTGACTTCGACCCTTCCGCTCCTCCTCTCCCATCTGTTCCCAATTTACCAGCTCAGTACGCCCCAGCAAATGACCGTTCACGAGGTCCCTCGCCGGCGAGAGGACCTGGCTTGGTAGTAGACCAGAGAGCTCTTCGCGATCCCAATTTGAGGCCAGATGTGTACGTGGCGGGACTACTAAGTGATGCATCGGAACAAGATATTGAGGACTATCAAACCAATCTGAGGAAGATGAAGAATCGTACTTCTACGGATCTACAGCAAAATGTGTATCAAAATCGAACGCAGTTCATCAAGATTAGTAAGGAGGCAGAAAAGCTCAAAGGGGAGATGCGCGCACTCCGAAATCTAATGGCGGAACTCAAAACCAATACCACTGCGCTAAGAACTACCTCTTCACAAGGTCCATCATCCTCGTCGACTGATTTTGACGGCTTTCCACCAACTTTGAGCAAAAGGGACAAGCGAAGTTCTGTGGCAGACCGAACAGCCCTGTGGAACTCGCAGCTTCAAGTAGGTCCACGCTTTTCAAGTATTAGTTGGTAGGAGTACTAATTTTGCTAGGCTTTATGGAAGACCATTGAGGGCTCCCAAAAGTTTCTACCAGCGGCTCCTGGTCGTCACGTGGTACAAAATGCCGGGCTTTGGATAGAGCTTGATAACGCTACTTGGAAATCTCGAAGAGCCATGCAGATTGTCCTGTTGAATGATCATCTTCTAGTTGCATCAAGGAAAAAGCGAAAAGTCGAGGGCGCCGATCAACGACAAGCGCCATCAAAGTTGGTGGCAGACAGATGCTGGCCACTGTTGGACATTGAAATTGTTGACCTTGCAGGGACGAGTGAAGGGACTAGTGTGCGTAATAAGTTGGCCGATGCGATCATGATTAGAGGTGTAGGTCAGGAATCTTTTACCTATCGAACGGAAAAACCAGGTGATACGGAAAAGTCCTCTCTTATGATGAACTTTCGAAAGGCAGTAGAAGAGCTTCATAAAGGCCTCCGTTCGGAAATGGAAACGAGCAACAAGGCCAAAGAAACGATTAACTACTTTGCTTCTCGTGACCCGGGATTGTTAAAGAAGACAGATTTACTTGAGACTCTTTCGGACATCAAAGATATGCTTATCGAAGTTGATGGCAAGCAGCAAAATCTGCGGTGGGTGGAAAGTCAGGTTGATGAGTTGGATATCGAAATCGCACTGCAACATTTTGACATGGCAGTCCAACGAGTTGCAAAGCTAAATTCTTTAGCCAAGGGTCTTAAAAGCAATATCGTCGCCCAGGATTTCATTAGTTTTAAAGCGGACGAAAGAGCCACCAGACTTGCAGAACTAATCACCCGTGAACTTGTTGACACGCATAATGAACCGAAAAAAGTTAAACGCAATATCAGCTGGTTAACAAGTCTTGGCTTCGAGGATCGGGCAAGAGAAGCGTATCTTGAAGCTCGGGGGGATATCATTCATAAGAGATCAAGGTATGCTTCAATAACTTTCATTTAATCGGCTTCACTAATTTGTATAACAGACAATGTATATTCGAAGGTAATCTTCACCAATATATTTGGGAGGTATCATTCGTGTACTTCACAATAATACGGAATACTGTGTCAACCTTTCAAGCCTGCTTCCCACAGCCTCTTATGAGTGCATGTGTCAAATGGGCCAAAGAGCAGGTTGATGCGTTCAATGTTATTCTTGCACGACAGCTTAGCAGCACCGAGAAGAATGGTCAAGTATGGACAGATTGTATGGATCAGGCAAGAGAACATGCAAAGATGCTCTCCGAAGTTGCTTTGGACTTCAGCAGTCTCATTGGTTCAACCCCGATAGATATTGTCAATGGTCCCAGAGGCGTAGGGTTAGGCTTGGCGTAATGCTGTATCGAATGGGCAAACTGGTATACATATCAAAACCAACTTTAAAACTCGGCCAAAGATATCTTCACACAATGTTCAAGAAATACTATTTACATAGGTGTCTATTTATACTCCTACAGCAATTTAGTCATTGGATTTATGAATTTAATAAGATATTCACATCCCTTTCGCTGTTGCTAATACTTATTAGTCTTGCTTCCGTAATTCATTGATAAACAAAGTTGAGAAAATAAAGCTAATAAATATGACATCTGCATTGACGCATGCTCTCTTGCCTCTTCCAAATATAAATGCCAAATCCTCTTCATTGCGATCTTGAAATCTGCTTATTAAGCGAGGAGCTGTTCCTTTCAAATAATCTGCGCACCGCTTCTACAACCTGAAAGCCCCTCCACAAACATTTCTGCACGACGAACGCCCTGAAATCTTATGATAAAATTGCTTCTGCGATTCTCAACATAAGATACTAGTTGAAGTTGCGCGGACCGCTTCCCGAAAAGAACAACAAACTTAAATAGCTCTTTTGACGACCAACCCGCGCGCTTGTCGTCACCAAGCTCGAGCAATTCAATATCGACAACCAAATTAACAACAAACCATCAAATTTATCATACGATAGAATGAACACAATGGATACAGATATGGCAGATGTAGGCAGGACGGTTGAGCCCACAGGATTATCTCCAGTAGCAGAACCTGCTTCAATACCAACTCTTGATGGGTGGATTGAGAACTTGATGGCGTGCAAGCAACTGGCCGAGGTCGACGTTCAGAGGCTTTGCGATAAGGTATTGTTGTTTGCGAATCTTGCCATATTCTCAGACTGCAAAGTATGAGCCAGCTAATCAAGAACGCGTTACCAGGCACGAGAAGTATTGCAAGACGAGTCGAATGTACAGCCGGTGGTATGCTTGCCCTTTTCGTGTTGGAATTCAAAGAGCTGATCAACGATCTAGAAATGCCCTGTTACTGTCTGCGGAGATATTCATGGGCAATTCCATGATCTGATGGAGCTCTTCAGAATTGGTGGACCAAACCCAGATACCAATTATCTATTTATGGGTATGTCTCCTATCCCTTACTGTCATTTCCTTGAATTACTGACACGTTATCATAGGTGATTATGTTGATCGAGGTTATTACTCAGTCGAAACTGTCACTCTTTTAGTCGCTCTAAAAATAAGATACCCCCAAAGAATCACCATCCTCCGTGGTAATCACGAATCCCGCCAGATCACTCAAGTTTATGGATTTTACGACGAGTGCCTCCGAAAATATGGAAATGCAAATGTTTGGAAATACTTTACCGATCTCTTCGACTACCTTCCCCTCACCGCCCTCATCGACAACCAAATCTTTTGTCTCCACGGAGGTCTTTCCCCCAGCATTGACACGTTGGACAACATCAGAGCTCTTGATCGTATACAAGAAGTGCCACATGAAGGTCCTATGTGCGACTTGCTATGGTCGGATCCAGATGACAGATGCGGATGGGGAATATCCCCTAGAGGAGCAGGTTACACTTTCGGACAAGACATTTCGGAGGCGTTCAACCATAATAACGGATTGACCTTAGTCGCAAGGGCCCATCAATTGGTCATGGAGGGATATAATTGGTCTCAAGATAGAAACGTAGTTACGATCTTCTCAGGTATGGTATCTTTATCTCTTTCAGCGGTGTCTGATGCTAACCATAAAAAAGCCCCCAATTACTGCTACAGATGTGGTAACCAAGCAGCAATCATGGAGATTGATGAGCACCTTAAATATACTTTGTAAGTAGCAACTTTATCCTCCTCGATCTCACAGTCTCTAATATAATGCAGCCTACAATTTGATCCATGCCCAAGAGCTGGAGAACCAATGGTATCACGTCGTAAGTACCCTACAAATTCAAATCTCTGTTGCACCTTTGACTAACTATGGCGATAGGTACTCCCGATTACTTCCTCTAGATATACAGATGGAGCGACTTAAGACGAAACACTTTGATATGCGATATTGCGTTACAATGATTGGGACAGAAGCAATGAACATTCTGTTTTCTGTATGTGAGGTTCTACGGCATCCTTTGGGAATAGCATTCTAATTGGTATTGCCTACGAATAATACATTGGTGGCCCAATCCGGAATTCATCCAACTTTTGTAGACTTGCATTAGACTACTTATTATACCAAAATGCAAAAAAGCAGTTGAGGATATTTTCTTTGAAGGGGGGTACCAGCGTCGTGAATATACATTCCTATTATTGTAATTTGATATGATATACTTGAATGCCCGTTCCTTACTTGTGATCATGACTATGATAGTGAGGATATCATTATCTTCGAGGGGTTCTATTGTTTCCTTCCATGAACGAATCAAGGAATAACTTGCTTTGTCCAGACTTGTTATACAATCAATCATTTCGTGGAGTACTTACCACCAGGTTGAACTTGCTTGGCCATAACTTCTTAATAGATATCTTCAGAAAACATTGGGTGTAAAAATCAATTTACCTGATTAAGTATATATGCTCAAAGAATTGACTGTATGTATGAATCTACCTAGTCCTTTCTAGTAGTATATCCTCATAAAATTGTTATCGTGATTAAATTATCTATCCATGAATATTGCATACTAGGAATGTCTTCACGATATTTCTACCTAGATACTGAACTGATGCTTCAGCTGTACTTAACAAAACCCCACCATCCATTACACTGACGCCATTTTCGTCGATTCTGCCGCACTTGCCGCCTTAAGCCTTAGCTTTCGGGTTATTTCCAACATTTGTTACATCAATCTTCAGTTTTTCGCTTAGCCATCCAATCATCGACAACTGGTCTAAAGTCAGTAAATTTCCTGATGAGTCCACACTCCAAAGTTCTTCTCTATTGATACATTCACCACTTTTTGTTGACCACTTTGCGATACGAGCCATCGAGCTTTATCAATTTCCATCATGTCTTTACCACCTCAAGATCCTACCAGGAATTCATATCAACAACCAAATACACAACGTCATATATTCCCAGTTCAACAAAATCTTGGTCAACAAAACATTGCTTACCCAAGACCACCTTCAACTGGTATTCGCGGTCCACCAATTCAACAGCACAATTCTCCATACTCAACTCCATATGCCAATAAGCAACCAGTTCCACCGAGACAAAATGGCAACAATGGAGTATCTGCAGAACAACAAATTGCTCAAGGTATTTTGAGTAATGCTGCGAATGGTCAAACTCCTCAGCGACAGCCTCAGAGACAAAATGGTCCACCTCCCATGGGTGCAGCAATTCACATGGCACCTCAGCATACCCCGCAAAATCAATCCATGACCGTCACTCATGCCGTTCACCCAACTCCCCCATCTGTCTTGAATCAAACTCGAGATTTTGCAACACAGCAACGGCAATCACAATCCCCCGCGATGCAAGGACAAAGTCTTGGTGTTCAACGACCCCCGTCTATGAACCCCTCCCCCGCCAACTCAAACCTCGGATCTACGAGACCGCAAGATTCACCGGTAAGTTCCACTCAGGATATGTCTATGATTGACCCTCAGCTTGCGCTTGATCAACAATTGGACCCTAACGGTTCTCTTCTTTCTCCGGCGGATGAACATGATCAAACCGAAGCTCCGGAAGTGACTCCTGGTGAAATGTTATCTGCCCCACCAGGAGGTAGTTATCCAACCTTCGAGGCCCTTTTTGCAGCTGCGCAAGCACACGCTTTGGCACATGGTTATGCGTTCGTCATTGGCAGATCTAAACGCGACAATAGAGGTCTGAAGAAAGTGTTCTTGATTTGTGATCGCGGCGGAACCAATAAGGAGAAGGTGCCCGGTGAACAGCGACAACGTAAGACCAAATCGCGTAAATGTGGTTGTGAATTTGGAGTCTTTGGTCTCGAAAACAAAACTTCTTGGCTTCTACGAGGTCGGATTGATGGAGAGCATTTAACACACAATCATCCTCCAAGCGAAAGTCCCACCGAGCACCCGGGAGCTAGAAAATTAGATCCTAAAGCAATTGCTGCTGTAAAGGCTCTTGAGGAAAACGGTATATCACGTCCTGCCCGCTCACATATATGAATGGATTGCTAACACTATTCTTAGGTGTTTCTGTAAAAGAAACCCTTGAAATTCTCCATCGTGACAATCCTACTATTCGCTTCCTTCCTCGTGACATCTATAATGCCCGAGCCGCAATTAAACGCGACCCTACTCGTGTTGAACCCACAGCCATGGAGTCTCTTCCCACGTTCTACAAAAAGCCCCCTATGTCATTTGAAGAGAAGCTCCGCGCCGAGCTTCGAACCGAGGTAGCGAATGCCCAAGCAGAAGTAGAGAAAATCAAGGCCGATTGGAAGCAAGAAGTAGAAGATTTGAAGGAACAGTTGAGGCAAAAGGATTTAGTAATCCACAAGTTTGAACAATTCATCGATATCTGTAACGAGCGGGTAATGATTAGAAGAGATGAGTTGTCGGATCCCCCCGCCGGTGCAGAGCCAGGCGCAAACGCTATAGCAAATGCTATGGGTAATGCTATGGGGAACGCTATGGGTAGTAGCATGGGCAATACAATAGGCTAAACTACTTCGGCCTTTATCTATTGATTAGACGAACGTACTGATGGCTGGACTACAAATGAATCTTAATGGACATGGATCAAGGAACGGAATGGACTATGGGATTAGGGACAAGGGAGTTCTACTTGCTTTAATTTTCTAAGGCGGATACAATTGGGTTTGTGGTTCTGGGATAGGTACTAATATGGCTGTTTGGTGTCTGGAATTGGGAGGGAGGTCGGATCTTTACATTTTTTGTGTTATGCTCTCTTATGACGGCTGGTATTCGATTTCGGTGTTCATGGTATGTTCGTATATGAGATGAGACACAGATCTTCACTCAGGCGGCTGTCTTCAGCAGAGGATATTTGGCACAAGGATTGAATGTAAGGGACATGAGATACATATGGTATCAGTCATCCGTCAATGAAATTGATATAATCTACACGATTGGTTTTCTTGATGATTTGTGCGAGACTACTTGCGCGTCGATGTTATTAAAGACAATTCCTATCCTTCATGCGCATATTTGAGGCTTGAAAATTGCTTACGCGTGGTTGCGGCTCAAGTCAATGAGGGTTGGTTCTGTGGGGTGGAGAAAAGAAACGAGGATCCAGTAGTTCAAGTTCGAATAATCAAAAAGAAGTTCAAAATATGGAATGTGTTAAAACTTGAACCCGAGCCTGAATCAATGTCATTTATGCGTCGTAAAGTTTTGAAGAGTGGATTTAACTTATTCGATACTCAAAGCACTGCTCCCGGTGAGTGCCCAGTGAGCATTTACAAAAGATGCATTGCGAATCCCCATTCTTCTAGTGGTGGCGTGGGCAACGCTAGTATAGCAGCGGCCGCATCATGCCCCACGATTTTAACTTCCCCTCCAAATTTTTGGAAGTTTATTATACACTCGCGCAATATCGCCATTATATAGAAATGCCTTACGATAGCTGGATTTCGAGGCCGATTTGGTCTTATGAGATCGATGGTAAGTGATTCGCTTTCTTATGTGCATTGAAAAAATATTAATACTTCTACAATGTAGATATCGTCGTATTATGGCATCTTTATCGCATTCCAATTATTCTTACGACGGCCACGATCCTCATACTCGTCAGGATAACCCTTCGTCCGCGAACAGTGAGGGAGAAATTATCTGCATCGCCTTTGCCCTCATCACCGATCCTACCTGCGGTGAAAGAAAAGATATCACCACCTGTGATTGACGAAAAGAAAGCCAATGGCGTCAAAGCCCCACGAAGAATAGTCGGAGGCATTAAAAAACGCAAATCTTCCGAGGAAAACCTGCAAGCTGGTCCCGAAAAGATTCAACCACTCGTTTTCTTTTCATCATTGACTGGCACGACAGAAAAGACCGCAAATTCTTTTGTGGAGAGCATTAGAGGCGATCTCTCTCGACGTGCAATTGGGCAAAAAATTCAATTTCTCGAATCTCAACTACTCGACCTGTCATATATTGACTACGATGACTACTTCATTAACCCACCAAAGGGCGAATCTGGAGTTAGCTACTTTTATTTAGTACTCATCCCCAGTTATAATATCGATACTGTGTTGGACAATTTCCTGGAACATCTACAAGAAACACATAATGATTTTAGAATCGATACGGCGCCATTGTCGCCCTTGGTAGGATACTCAGTGTTTGGGTTTGGTGATAGAGAGGGTTGGCCAACGGAGGAAGAAGGATTCTGTTCGCAGGCTAAGGACGTGGATAAATGGCTAGCGAAACTGACGGGAAGAAAGAGAGCGTTCCCTCTAGGAATGGGTGATGCAAAGACGGACGCAAATGAAAGGTTGGCGGAATGGAAGGAAGGGGTGGTAGACGTGCTGGAGCATATTGCAAAGACTGGAAGTCTAGGTGAAGGGGTCGTTGGAAGTGGAGATGCGGTAGAAAGTGATGTGGAGGATATTGAGGATGACGATGATGGGGAAGTCCTTTTTGATGAACAAAATGTTGCATCGAGAAAAGCCAAGACGCAAAAGAAAGACGACAGTCTGAACGATTTAGAGGATATTGGAGGCGTTCTGAATAATACAGAAACCATAGACAATGCAACTGGCGAAGAACCGGAAGAACTCGAGATAGACTTCACGACAGTCGGATTGAAGAAGGGGAAGGCCAAGACAGCTCCAGTTGTCGCTAAGGAAATGGTTCCAACAACTTCACCTACATATGCAGCTTTAACAAAGCAAGGCTACTCAATTGTAGGGTCGCATTCAGGAGTCAAAATTTGTAGATGGACAAAATCGGCTTTGCGAGGCAGAGGTTCTTGTTATAAATATTCATTTTATGGCATCGCATCTCATCAATGTATGGAGACTACACCATCATTGTCATGTTCTAACAAATGTGTCTTCTGCTGGAGACACGGTACCAACCCCGTTGGAACCACCTGGAGATGGAAGGTAGACCCACCAGAAATGATCTTCGATGGTGTCAAGGCTGGACACTACAAGAAAATCAAGATGATGAGAGGTGTTCCTGGTGTCCGAGCCGAACGTTTTGCGGAAGCAATGCGCATTCGCCACTGTGCTCTAAGTTTAGTCGGCGAACCAATTTTCTACCCTCACATCAACGAGTTCACGAGTATGCTCCACAAAGAACACATTTCCACCTTCCTTGTTTGCAATGCACAACATCCAGATCAACTCGCCACACTTCAGCCCGTCACTCAACTCTACGTTAGTATCGATGCTTCAAACAAGGATTCTCTGCGTAAAATTGACAGACCCCTCCATCGAGATTTCTGGGAACGTTTCCAGCGCTGTCTCGAAATCCTCCGCGAGCGTCGCTTTGAACAGCGTACCGTATTCCGTCTTACGCTTGTCAAAGGTTTCAATATCGAAGATGAAGCGGAGGGTTATGCCGATCTTGTCGAAAAAGGATTGCCTTGTTTCGTGGAAGTCAAAGGAGTCACATATTGCGGAACATCGTCTTCCGCTGGTGCAGGACTCACGATGCAGAATGTACCATTCTATGAAGAGGTCTGCGCTTTTGTCGAAGCTCTTACAGCATCCCTCAAGAGGAGAGGATTAGGATATGGTATTGCAGCAGAACATGCTCACAGCTGTTGTATCTTGATTGCATCTAATAGATTCAACATTGCGGGTAAATGGCATACGAGGATTGACTACAAGAAGTTTTTCGAGTGCTTGGAGAGTGGAGAGAAGTTTGGCCCAGAGGATTATGTGGGTGCCGAGACTCCAGAATGGGCAACCTGGGGACAGGGTGGATTTGATCCAAGGGATGAGAGAGTACATAGGAAAGGAAAGAATAAGGTTCCCTTGCCGGAAAGTCAAGGAATGGTTATGGGAGAGGTTCAAGATGGTGGTGAGGATAAGGTTGCTGAGAATAACACCAAGGATGATCTTGCTTTCTAGGTAATGCCAAACAATAAATATCGATATCAAGAAAAATAAATCGCAAATCAATGTACCATTACTTTTTAACATCCTTCAATTGATCTCTTTCTTCTTCGAGACAATCATATGCGCTTTATCACATCCCTTTCGATAATCATTCAACTCCACACTAACAACATCCAGTATTCCTTCTGCCTCCAATTTCTCAATCTCAGCTTTATACCCCCCTGATTCCCACACCTCCTCGAGAATAGTAGCAATAATGAGACCATTTGGAATGAGTATCCGAGAAAATTCCCTTAACGCAGGATCAGGACCAAACATGTCCATACGTAAACGTCCCAGCACAAGTTACCAGATCATACGTTCCATCCGGCATCTCAATGGTCTGCAACAAGTCTCCTACAAACAGATTGCGGTAACAACCCGTTAGACGAGCTTGAGCGAGCATGGCGGGCGAAAAATCAAGGCCATCAATGTACGTAGCACCGCTCTCTGCAAGCGCAAGCCCCACGAGCCCGGTGCCACATCTGGCATCGAGAATGCGGAGGGTGGAATAGTGGGGATATTGGCAGGCGATTTGCGCGATGAGCGTTGGGGCAACGCAATTTTGGAGCGCGACGATGTGAGTGTTGTAGGTGGAGGCCCATTGAGCGTAGAAGGCTTGGAGGTCAGAGGGAGGGAGATTACTGCGGACTTGGGCGATGAGTTGGTTGGCTGGGATCATGGTTGGGTGCGGTGCGGTGGGATGTTTAGAAAACGCGGTGGAGATGTTTTTGAGGTGACTGATTGAAGGAGAGAGGCTCTTTGGGGGCTAGGGATAGATTGTCTTGGACGTGAGCTGGGGGTTGTGTTGGCATGTTTGAGGTAGGTAACCTTGATAGTAACCCCGCACATTAGGTAGCACCAAGCCGGACAATCAGTGTTATGATGAAGAAATTTTGCTATAATTGTGAGAAGGGTAGTACAAAGTGAGATTACCTGAAAGATCATTTGCATGGAAGACCCCGTAATCTAAAATACTACTTTCTCTGTAACTTGAGCAGTTCCAAGTTTTAAGATTGCAATATTCAAACAATTCAGCTCGTCAACTGTAATATCAGATTTCACTTCATACATCAGTAGAGAAACTGAATCTAAAGTATCCAGACAGATTGTCCGTATTTATTCTTCGTTTTAAATTGGATTGAACAAACAAAACAAATGAGAAACTTAATCAAAGTTAGCTTGAGGAATTCTCGTTAAGACGTTCGCTTCTTGAGTCATCACAAAGTACATTTCTTTTTTTCTCGACCTATTGTGCATTTGAAACGTGGACAGAGGAAGAAAGGAGCTGGAATGGAGGTTTGGAAATTGTATTTCTAACCTCACTTCCCTCTGCTTTACCCACTCTCCCATTAATGACAATTACATTCAACTTCTCCTGATCCTGCAAGATCGTAATATCCTCAAAAGGATTCCTATCAATCAAGATAAAATTCGCATAGCAACCCTACTGAATTTTCCTCAATTCATTTTTTTACAAACAGTTTGGCTACTCCTGCAGTAGCAGAAATCATAGCCTCCATAGGAGTAAACCCGAGAAAATTCACACAATGTGCGGGATCTCGTGCATAGGTTTTATGAGGTGTCCACACAAACCCAGGTCGTAGATGGTGAGTGAATTCTAACAGAACGTTGGCTTTCTGAGTAGGAGGAATCACTACTGATGCTGATGACAATATGCCGAAAGCTATCAAGTTTAGCTCTATTTAGACATGCACATCATGAAGAAATATCATCAAATTATTCTTCGCGCTTCCGGCATATCTTCCCTTTAAATTACATCAATTTACATTGTCCTTCCCATCTTCATGCCAAATTGCCGTAGCCTAGGTAACACTTGCCAGACAGGGTTCTCCGCATTCTCGACTTGCAGTTGTATAAGCGTGGCAGAAGACCACCTGAACAAGTGTACTCATTCTGAGTCTTCTTCGTATGTCCTAACATGAACGAAAAATTTCCAACTATTCTTCTAAGAATGTAGCTTTGAAGAACCGATCAGCACGAGGTAAGAAGACCCGCTAAGGATAGACAACTCTGTCGCTCTCATAGATATCTTTCATTTGGACGGATGGGTTCAACAAACCACTTGGTGGTGTTGATTACAGTCCACAATGGGAAGAAGAAAATTTCATAAGCCCAAAGAGAACGAACAAAACAATTGAGTGCGTGATATAATATATCTTCTGGTTGATGAGGATGAGCTGGTCCCAGAACATTGAGCATGTTGCTTGATTGCCGGGAAGAGTTGTGTGACAAGGGTTGAGGCTTTGAAGGATTTTGTTATTTTCGCATATCATATGGGACAACAGCTTCTTGTCTATGGCGATGATTGTCAAAATGCTAATGTTCAACAGGCAACGAAATGGAAGCCTAATGATAAGACTCATCTGTGAAGAGTGTCTTACGAATACCAATGCGTATCTTGCAACGACTCTTTTCTTACCCCACTCTAGGAACACATCTATAAATATATTCCCATCGACATTTTCCTTGACAAATTAACACCAAACCTCAAAATTCACTATGAAGTCATTGGATTCCTCGAAGCTTTTCACAGAAGATTGGATAATAACTATCCCATCGCATCCCCACCTCCGCTTCATTCGTCTAATCCCCAGCCGCTACGACCATCTAGTCCGTGTTTTCAGCAACCCCTTAAACGACCCCAATAACCGCACTCCAGACGATACTAGTTGGAAAGAATCCAATTCTATTGATCTGATCAAAACCTACACTCAACGATTTTCCACTTCCAAAACCTCACACAATGCCCTCGCACTTCTAGTAGAGGAAAATGGAAAAATTGTAGGCATCGGACTCGTGAATGAACTTGAACATCAACCTCGCTTCGCGAATATCGGCACGATTCTTGAGGAAGCGGGAAGGGGTCATGGGGTTGGCAAGGTTTTAATGGAATTACTTTTGAGATTGAGTTGTGAGATGAATGTAGATGTTGTGGAAGCGGGTACGATGAAGAAGAACGCGGCGATGAGGGGGTTGATGAGAAGTTTGGGGATTGAGGAGGTAGAAGAGGAGAAAATCATGCCGGGGAATAGAAAGATCGCCGAGATTATGTTTAAGGATATTGAAAGGCAGAGGTGGAGAGATTTTGAGATTCAAGTTGAGTTTTTGGGAGAGGTAAATTGATGGGGAACGAGACAGTGGTGGTCAAATCACTCGTTTGATATATGCATTTTATAGGATTTAAGTTGGGCTGGATTTGATTGGATTGTCAAAATGCTAGGAATCTAGTAGCCTGCTACTTTTTTAACCCCCATCAGCTCCCGAGTATTGACTCGCTCTCTCCCTCTCTCCTAGAACCTACAAGGACCCTGCACATGTACGACTTCTTATCCTGCAATCAGCATCTTGAAGTTCCTTCATTACTTTGATGGCTTAGAATTATCTCCCTTAACAGCTTCTTCAGCTGGCGAAATCTGAGTTCCTCTACAATGAAAGCATTGTTTGAGAATGAAGTCTTGTACCCAAACACTCTTTCCACAACCCGAAGTGCCGGAGCACTTGTATTCTTTTCCGGATCTCTTCATATTGATGCTGTGTCTTGAATTGAAGGTGCTGAAGTTTTGATATGATATGTGGAATGTGTGGATGAATTTGTTCGACTACTCTTGAAGATCGGTTTCGGGTGATTGCTAAAGTTATGCGCTGGAGTTAATACTTGTTGATGATATTGTAAAGATGCAACAGAACGGTGAGAAATACGAGACTAAATAGAATTCTAACTAGAAGTTAAGACGACGGATACGGTGGTCAATTCTAATGCAATACTAGACTGCGCTGTGAATAGCGTGCTCATGATACTGATCTCGTGGCTGTACTAGAGCTAATCAAACTTATAGGTCAGTGAATGGTGGCATACAATACGCATCAAGATGGCTATTCTGTACGGCTGTGGCATATGAACAAAGATTAGAACGCCGGAAATCTTAATAATTTACCCCAAAAGGTTAACTGCTATGGCTGTGCGATATTTGCTATACTAAGAAACCCGTACCGGTCCAGCTAAATTGGATCCTGATGTAGCAAAATCCGGCCCGTCATAATAGCTTCGGGTCGTAACTTCGCCCACTCGCCCATTCGTATATGGCGAATGGATGATCCGTTGTCCGGTATAACTCTATTTGATTTGGACCAGCTTGGCAAACATACATACCCATCAGGATGTCCATTAAGGATGATCCGGGAACCGAAACTGGGTCGATCGTGCGGATATTGTCGAGCTTCGAGTACGAGTACCCAATATTATTTGAACCCTTCTTCGCTAAACCTCGATAATGTTTAGGTCGGTAAGATTAGCAGCCTCCTCGTATACACCACATACAGCAGCGGTTCTCTCATATTACCGAGGCCATGACACATACAGACAGCATTTGTAAAGCCGTCTACTAATTGCGTGGAGAATCTAATGCAAAGTCTTCGTTGAATTCTGTTCGGTTTAAGACTCTTAACTCCGCAGACCGTCGTCTACTAATTGTGCAAACAATCTAACGCAAAGTCTTCATTGAAGTCCGTTCGCTATAAGACCCTTAGCTCCGTAGACCTTGGGCTAGATTGAATATAAATGTCCACGACACCCCAACTAGCCCCAACGGCCCCCCTTCATCGTGAAGCTATGACGGTCTCCACAATCCCCAGCTGTGGGTGCCATTTGTCACAAATTCGGGCCGATTCTCGTGATGTGTCCAGAGTATTGGTAGACTAACAAGCGGGACCTACCGAGTTGATGGATTAAATGGGGTACAATGAATACGTCCCTACCAGTACTCCGTAGGTAAAGTTCATATGGGGCGATTGCTTCAATCGTTTTCCAATATGCGGTGACCGTTATCATGTCCCTGCGGGGCAGCCACCACGCTTTGATCTGGCCATTCTATTGAAAAATCAGACATCAGCTTCATACGCGACTATGTGGGAACTTAATGAAATAGTCGGAATTCAAGTGGAATCTGGGTTGTTGAAGGAATATATTTCGAAGCTCGGGAGAGGGATAAGCGGCATCTACCAGTCATGTAATCAAGCGCAATGTTTAGGGACTTCAAGAATCAATCATAAAACATTAAATTTTTCATATGCCTAGTGTTTCCAAAGCTATTCTGCGACGTAAAAGATTATATCCAAAAATTCAATCAGCGCCATAATTTTCCTGCTCCCATAACCGTAAGATTTAACATAATTCATATCGCAGACATAACTCTCCCAAACGATTCCTTCATAGAGGCACATTATACCCCTTGAACTTTCGCGCTGGTATTCCTTGCTCAAATAGCCAGTCCAGCTCATCAAACTTCCTCCCGTTAGTTTCTGGAACTCTAAGCCAAACCCATAACGTTCCCAAGGTTGATGTCCCGGCAAAAATGAACCCAATCTTTCCTCTCAGGTTTGCTGAGTCTGGATTTATCAACAGTGGAATAGCAATATTCATGACAATACCAAACACACTCTGTACCACTATACCCAACCCAACTGTCCTGGAACGTAATGATGATGAAGGAATTTCAGCAAAGAGTGCCCATCCCATTGGCCCAATAGTCGAGAGATAGATAAACGAGAAAATGATTACACAAGCTACTTGACCATAAGCTGGTCCTTTGCTGGAATAATTAGGTAAGATATCCAATATACCAATCAGCAAGAGCAAGAATGTCAACATGGCTGTTCCGACAAAAGATGTAGAACGACGTCCACATCTATTGATAAGAAACCATGAACAAATCACACCCAATAATCCCAGGATCGTAACTCCAACTGATAATGTAAATGCGTTAGAGTCAGACATGCCAGCAAGTTCAAAGAAGTAACTCGAATATCCAACTGAGAAAACGACACCAGTAAGCTGGGCGACGGCGAAGATGCCCATCGAGATTTCGGTACGACGGAGGTTGGAACCTCGGAAACAATCAAGGTAGGTGGTTTCGGAGGAATTTTTAGACTCTGTTGAAATGATTGTTGTCATTTCTTCTGTGGTGTCAAGAGGAGAAGGATAGCCTAAACGAGCGAGGGTCGAGGTTGTGTTGTCCATGTGAGAATGACGGAGCAGATACCAAGGCGATTCGGGTGCAAATGGGAGACCGAGAAGGATGATTGTTGGAAAAATAAATTGAAGAGCAAAGGGGATTCTGTAGGCATTCGCCGAGGCAAATGTTCCTGTGCCCTTAAGAACGAGATTGCCCGTGAGTTGACCGATAGAAATGAGTAGTTGAACCCCAGAGGTGGTTAGGCCCCGTATAGTCGCAGGACATATTTCGGCAGCGTAGCTTGACGGAATGGTGAGAAACGCACCCAGGGCAAGACCGTTGATAAGCTTTGATATGTTAGTTCAATCCAGAGTTATAAAGGGGGGATCGATCTTACCTTGCCCACGAGTAAAACCACTGACGACCGAGCAAACACTTGCAGGAACACACCAATAATGCTCAATATGCACCCAAATCCCATCATCAACCGCTTCCCAAATCTATCGGCAAGATATCCAGTAGCAATGGCTCCAAATAATTGGCCAATGTAAGAGGCAGAATTGAAACCTGTTTGCCATTTTGAACTGATTATATATGCGCCTTTGTAATTGTATCCAAAATCACGCTCGAAAGAAGCAATTGATATAGCTCCACCAGATATCTATAGATACTGTTTAGCCATCGAATCGTGCATGTTGAATACCAAGTGTCTACTAACCTGAATATCCATTCCCCAGTTGACAGCTGCCAAGGCAAAAAATCCCGACCAAAACACCGCTACTTTGTGTCTCATCACCATCTGCCATGTCGAAAGTTTTTCTAGCTCTTGAGTTTCCAAACTCGCGATCTGGGTTACCGGCTCCTCGGAAACAACAACTACCTGTGTGTTCTTCATCATCATAGATTCATGAAGTCGTGCTCGAGAAAAAAAAAAGTGGTCGTGATCAGTTCATTTCCTGGGTATTGCCTATGAAGATATTATACGAATGCTGATCTTTATGTGGGAGCCGTGCTTAACGACGTAAAATCTGGGGAAATCCCGGAATAAAGTATATTCTACCTTTTATAGTCAAAAGCATTAGGGGATTAAAACTCAAGGTGAGGATTACTTATCAACTAGAACTAATGTTGTCAAGAGGCTGGGGTTTCTACAAAAGCCGGTGAAGGTCGCCCCTTGACTCTACATTCTTAGGAAAGGGGTCAGACACCTTTTGTTGAATTTGATTTGTTCTGGATGTTCGGCTTGCTGCATGAAGGTTGACATAAAAACTAAATTCTAAATAAGTGACCGCATTCTGGGGCTAGAAGGCTTCGAACTCTCAGACCGCGACAGCTAGAAGTTGACATTGTTCCATAAAAACTCTGAAAAGTGGACCAACCAATGAAATGCCTCAAGCTATTCCCAAATCTCTTTCGAAAATTTCAACTTCCTTGTAACAATTGTTGACAATGATTCAGGCTTGAACACTCAAATGCAAATAAACGTGGCTTTGGACGCCGAAGAGTTTGGATGATAAGTTGATAACGGGAAACTTCGCTTAAAAATCAGAAGTGCGCGAAGAGCTATATGGCCCCTGCAAATATCAGAAGAATGAGTCTCCCCAATTCCTTTTTTTCTATTTCCCAATAATCTTGTGCAGAGTTCATTAGATCTTGCTGGTCGAGACATGGTATTGTAGCAATGAATCGTTTGATAATATCAACATCGTGACCGCTCATCAACACAACCACTCGTAGCAAGATCAATACTCCGGCACCTCCTAGAACATGTGAAATCATTGGTGTAAGCCAATATGCTGTTTTGATGAATTCATAAAACAGTACTCCATCGTAGGCACCAAGTCTCCGATCTTCTAGCAATATGTCACTTATGGCCTGGAGTAGGTGCAAAATTTGTTCCGCTGCGAAACTTTCCATTTGCAGATCTCCCAGCGAGCCACAATGGTGCATATCATCAATGCGAGAAAACAGAGGATTCGCTATGTCACCGAATGAGACACCGAATGGATTTGGACAACATTGAGTTTGTTCCGAATTGCTTATCACTGCGCAAATCCATTGCCCAGCCTCTGAAAGCTTTTCACGATCATCAAAATGCTCGAATGTGTCCCCAAATATTTCCACAAAATCAATTCTCGGATTGCCTCTTTCACGAGCTTGATGGTGAATACCCGGTAGGTTGCGTTCAAGTTCAATTGACCGCATCGGTACATCAATTCCATTTGGAAAGCTAAGAACTACGGGAGGTGAAGCCCTTTCAATATGCTTGACGGGACCCTTGTGATGTAAGGGAGGAATTGGCAATGAATTCGGGGCGTAATGTCGATTATTCCGTAACCCAGCCGTGATAATTCCATGATAAGGAGCCATTTGAAAGACTCGGCATTGGCTTGATTCCTGAAAGGTTATTTTTCCAAAGATGAGGAAGAGGAATTGGGTGGACGGGGGAGCAGGGACACTTTGAATAAACTTGTATTCGCAATAAAGAGTGTTTGATTGTGTTATGCGCAGCAATGGAGGCAATCAGACACAAAGAGTTGATTAGAGTTCGAAGAGGTATCCATGAGCTTAATATAACAAACTTTGGTACAAACCATTCATACAAGCCACTACCATCACTCTCGGGTTCAAGTCACACAAGTGCAACTTCCAAGATGCAAGATGCTAGAAACACAAAACGTAAAGCGACTACTCAGTATGACTGGCTTAAGTTAATAGTCCACACCTCTGGTATTGGAGTGATCTGCCTTATTGTACCACGCAAACACTGGAAAAAACGCCCAGATACTATGTCGCTTGATAGCGGACATGAGATATGAGGCGGAATGCATATGATAACATATGATAATGGTGGTGGGTGAGAATGGGACACTTGACCAGCAATCACAACACAGTGTAATATTTTGTGTATGCAGAAGTAGGCTGATAAGGAGGTTATGTTCTAGAAAATTCCGAGGTAGCTGCGCTTCGGATGGTAGGATAAGTGTTGAGGGATATTGCCTACCGAATCAATTAGAGTATCGTATGGTCCTGAAACATTAGTCCAAAAATCATCAGCTCTGATGTTTGTTCAAGTCGAGGAAATATTATTGAGGTATGAGAAAGAACTCAGCCAAGAAAGAATGGACTGACTAAGCAGACATGCGTAGAGGGATCTTGATCACGTGTGTGTGAACCTCTCATTCAATTTTTGTTATTCACATTCATTTATTACTTCCAGTAACATTCGGAAGGTAGATCAATGCTATTCATCTACAAACCAAATATCGGAGTATAGTTACTGTTCATCAAGAACTCTGATCTATCAGCGCTTTTTGTAACAGGAAGTAGTGTCTGGTTACCACACATCGAATTGGGCCTATGGAGTGAAAGTTCACCCAACTCCCATCAGCATGAAGGTGCGTAAATACAAATGAGAGATCTATCATGGTCTTTGGTTATCCATAAGATATTTTGTATCCCAAACACGGTCTTTCGCTCTCACTTTCACGGCGATATATATCTCCGAGGTTTTCGTTCATGCTATGAAGCGACAACTTCTGACATTGGTGTCACCGAGGTTGTCTAGCAAATACACGTCCCTTATCACAGGTCTAAATAAGCTGGGCAACTGAGGTCATATTAACGCAGTATAATCTATGTCCAGTCTAGGAATTTTATGTGTCATGATCGCGATGTTTCGGTGGTGGCGGTTGGAAGAGCTCGCCATTCCATGCTATCTCTAACCCTTCAATGATTAGGCTGGGTTTAAGAATTGCTTTAACCTCCTCACAATTCATCTTTTCCTTCTTGATTTATCCAGAAGTGTGCATCTTCAAACCTGTTGCTTGTCGACCAGAAGTTTCCGGGCGGATTACCGGTGCCGCAACTCAGAATTGAGGGCATCGAAATCATGCTGGCTGTTCTCCATCTTTCGAATATCAGTTCAAAGGTTAAAGTGAACCAAGATCAGTAGGTATTTCATTCATAAGTACATAAGTACATACTGAATAGTATAAAAAGATGCTGAATTTGATACATGTATATTGGAATGTGACTTTATCAACATTGTATGCAAACTTCACAACAAAATTATTCGCGAGCCCTCTTGAATTCTCATACATCTTCCTACCAATTCCAGAATTCCGAGTATCTTGCCTGTCGTAGCCTGCTATGCTCCTACCCGAACCCCTTGCTAATTTTCAGTCTCCAACCAATCACAAGTCAAGATTGCCAACTCCCAAAAGCAATAACAAGATAAGTAGGCACCAAGAATGAATAGTTGCCTAGCCTCAGGCTTTGTAGCTCTCACTTCAAACGCGGTCCCTCACGTCCAGAACCAATTCGGTGACTTCGAATAATTCTTAACAGCTCTCAGTAAATCCTTCAAGAACTTGAGAAATATCGGGAAGTCTCTTTCCTTTATTTCCCTTGAGTCTGACTATCTAGTGATTTTCTACTGAACTTCAAGATATCTACTTAAGCTCTGATTTGTCAAAACTGACCGTAAAACCGAAAACCGAAAACTACAAACAACCAAGTACCTGACAAAGGCCAAAAATCACGGCATATCACGCAAAATTTCCAACAAGTCCTCAAATTTCATACCTCTCAACATGTCTTCTGAGTCTGACAGTATCTCTGTCAATTTCAGAGCTGAAAGTTCCCCGATGCGCCCTGCTACACACGAAGTTTTGGTAGATGGATCAGATGTAAGTTTTGCGATTTTTTACCCTTAATTCTTGCAACAAACATCCTCTCAAAAATCTTCTGGTCAGTATATCCCATAATTTGAAAAATTGGAAACACTTTTCATGCAAATCAGCTTTAATTTCGATGGCCATCGTTGCCAAATACAGCCAAGCTGGATAGCGTCAGATCAAATTCTTTCCAGTCTTTCTCCCCACTCCATATCCTAAAATATGATCTCAGAATTGACTCGTTATACTTTAGAGCCCCTCACCCCAAAAGTCATCACCAAACAAGTCTTCAAAAAATAAGAACACCACACCGAAGAAACAGAAAATAGCAGACAAAATGACAAAAGTCCCGACTATTGAAAAAAATGAAGATTCTTCTGATGTCGAATATCCCGGTCATGAGAATAGACTCAGCTCATCAGAAGTCAGCACTACGTATAGAAAGACTCTTTCTAAAACAAAGACTGTCACCAAGGACGAAGATGGTGGTGATGATAATGATGATGACGACGAAGAAGATGCCAAGGGAACGGTCACAAAGAAACCCGCTGTTGCTCCCAAATCCAAGCCTTCTACAACCAAAAATCTAAATGCCAAAGTGAAGGAGGAAACCGAACCATCAGAAGACGCATCTCCAAATGTATCTGATGCTGACACCAAAAAGGCTGCACCAGTTGCTAAGTCCAAAAAGAGACCTGCTGCTGCCATTTCCACGGCCGCCGGAGCTCGCAAGAAAGCCAAGCTACCAGCAAATGCCTACAATCCCGAATGTTATGCCGATTTGAACAGGGAAGACAAGTTATTGTTTGATCTCAAATCCGAAAGTCCAGAGGCTTCATGGAAGGAACTTGTTGTTCAGTTTAACCTGGAGATACAGGGAAATCCTGAGCTTAAATCTGATGCGCTTAGAAAAAGATGGCCAAGAGTCAAGGCTGCAGCGACTGAAATCAAACACGGTGATGTATGTTGATAGCTTGCGCTTTACCCGTTAATTTCTCAAACGCATTGTAATTGCTAACTTCTGATATCAGATTCAAAAGATGTGCATCTCCAAGCAAGACATGGAAGTCCAACTCGAGAATACGAGAGATGAGCTGTTGGCAAAATTTGAAAGAGAGAGAGAAGCTGTGTTGCGAAAATTCAAGACTGAAATGTGGACTGAAATTGCTAAGAACGTTGGCCAAAACGGTGGTAACGAATATGAACCTGCTATTCTGCAAAGAAAGTATGAACTCTATAAGCGTCAGGGTCGTATCGATGACAACGATAGATACTTGGCATGGACTGAGGAGGATGAAAATAGCGTGGAAGCAGAAGCGCAGGATGACGAGGAAGAAGATGCCAATGAAGAAGAAGACGACGACGAAAAAAACGAAGATGATGACGAAGAAGAATCCGGCGCCCAAGAGGACGCAAATGGTCAAGATGAGATCGAAGTCGACATCAAAGGAGAAGACACCAACATGTCTGAAGCCGATGCTTGAACAACACCAGAATTTCGGCCACTAGTACCTGAGAGTAGGCCAGACTTCATAATGAAGAAGATTCAATTTGCGTGAGTATATTTCGCGGCAGAAAAGCCTTAGTATCGCTAACTTTCAAGAAAACAGAGCTACTCACTCCTTTGCGTTGCTATCGAGATCTTACATTACAATGTCACCCGCTTCTCCTTCAATCTGCTTCTGAGTGTTTATTGGTTGGGAAGTACGCGGTTCATGATGCCTTCACTACTTTTTCATTAGACCGCATGGGAATTTTCATGGGATCTGTGCCATTTTTTGCCTCGACACTGGCGCGTACTGGTTGCTTTGATTTTGATTTGGAGGTGGCGGATAATGATGGGATGCAGAATGGAAGCATTAGCTAAGACTTGAACTTCATCAAATTGCCATAGCACGAATGAAATTGTTTCAGTCTACGAAAGAGATAATATCGTGAGTATCACAGATTGGCTTGCTGTTGTGATGACTCTAGCACATTCGATACATCTAAGATGATAGATGATCCAAGCTTATTTCGTCTTCTCCCCGAGGTACCTAGGGTGATCTCGTGTCTTGTCTAAATTTGATATAAAAATGACATCTATCCCGTCTCATGATTATGCCTAAATATCTTTGGATTATAGTGTTATTTCGCACATTTTGACATACCACCTGATACTAAAGGCTCACAAACTTGAGAATCCATGATTTATTTCAAGGAAATGCCAATATAAACAATATACCATCCCAAGTAGCGAGGTTAACATATTTCAACATCATCCTGACTCATACCATAAGAGTTCGAGACCGGATGAATGTCGATTAATTTATGGCAAATACCTCAACTTAAGGCTCATTAGGCTCTTGACCATTATACAAACCAAAAAAGTCTATGCAAAGAACTTCCTGTCGTGTTAACACATTGCATTTGAGAACAAACTCATAAACTCATGTCCCTACCCTCTCCATTACACCGATCAAAAGATTCCTGCTCTTTCTGGCTCATAGCTTAAGGCCCGCCGCAAAAATTGCACCAAGAATGCACATGATCATCCCTTCCAGCCAAACCTCCCGTTTTTCATACCCCAGAAGAAGTACGCCACGTCACCTGCACCATATCACCTCTCTAATTCCCATCATACCAACCCCGTCATCTGACTCAACTCCGACTCCCATGAATCCACTCCCTCCCCAACTATCGTCTCGACCATCGACCAACTATCCAAACACTGCACTCCAAATCTCTCACATAAAACCTTCACATATCCCTCCTTCCAAAACCCCTTTTCTACACAAACAATCACCTTCTGTCCTTTCTTCTTCAACGCCGTCCCCAATTCAACCAATGCTGTCCCTCCCGCCCCTATTTTTCCAGCGCGGACATCCGCTCCTATGAGTCCCACTACAACAATGTCTGCCAACTCCAAGCCCTCCAGTTCGAAATTTACCTGTGTAACAAATCTGTCATCTGAAGGATCTTCACGCCAAGTCGAGTCCCAGGCGGGATTGAAGGGATCAATTATTGTGACTGGTGCAAAGCTGCTTAGTTCGTTTGTAGCATTTTTATTATCTGTAGATGTGGAACGAGAGCGAGCTAGGAGGCGATCTGTGAGAACCTCTTGCCAGCGGCTCTCGTCTTTGTTGTAGTTGGTGGTGCCAGAGAGAAAGATTACCGGGTGGGGTAGATTGTGGGGTTTGGCGATTTTGCCATTTCCGATCAAGTCTGAAGAGGGGGTTAACAGGATGTCTCGGTTTGGCGACTTGATGGATGTTGACATTGCGCTAGAGATGAGTGTGTTTGCGTACTATTCCGATGTTGAGTTAGAAGATGATGTAATATTGCCGGACAATTGAGGCTATAGTTTGTTTGATCTGCGTTGCATCGCATCCGCATCCGCATCTGCATTTGTCCATTGGCCAATCACGAATCCTTAAACCTAGTCATATCACGAGATTCGTGAAACATGCATCCCATGTAAACCTCCATTCTATCATACTCTTGAAGTATATAAAGTATAAATTCAATCATAAATAATCTTATCTCCAATCTATTTATCGATCCTCTAATTCAACTTCATCATCAAATTCGTCTTCTGTCCCGTCCGTTATATGTTCATTTCTATGATCTTGCGGGAACCTTGGGCTCCCTCTCCTTCCTATCGTCTCTCCACTTGCGAGTCTAATTCTTCCACCGCTAGCACTATGTACTTTATTACCCACCCAAGTTCCCACACTTCTCATTACACCCCATAGCCTTTCCTCATTGTTTGATAAGACGGGACCTCGTTCTTCTCTAAATCCTTCATTGGCTTCCACTTTGAATTGGTATTTTAGGACGTCTTTAACAGTGACTAGGCCTTCTAGTTTCCCGTGGTATTCGATTAAAATTACTCGAGGTCCGATCTTTTGGAATAATTCCATGACAGTCTCCAATGGTAATCGAGGATGGACAGTAACGGGCGTAGAATCTATGAAGCGACTGAAATCGACCGATGATGATGCCATGCCTTCGAATGTTGTAGAGGCTGCTGGTGTAGTGGGAGTCATGGGATCATGAGTGGAATTGTTGTTCGGAGGCGAAAAATAGCATTTTGCCGAAGGAGAGATAGTTCTATCTCGTTTAACACGATCGATTGCATACCTTAATTCTGTCCGGCCAATGTATCCGACTAAAATATTCGAAACACGATCTTCAACTATCGGGAATCCTTGGTATCGATCTTCTAGGAGCAACTTTTCCAAGTGCCTCATTGTATATCCAGTTGTCGGTAAAATGACCACATCGCCTGTCATGACTTGAGATACTGGCACACCGAAAGTATGCTCCTCTTTATTATCGAGGAAAGGAAATCCGTTGAACCAAATCATGCGGTCCGCTATACCACCCTTTCCAAAGAATTCAGAGACGGCTTTCGTCACGCCGACAACAATCATAGTTGGAAGAATATAGGTAGTCGCACCTGTAAGCTCGAACATAATAACGACGACAGAGACGGTAATGTGCATGATTCCACTCAGAGCGGCAGCTGCACCAAGGAATGCATAAGTTCCTGGTGTGATACAGGGCACATCGGGTTGACATGCAGCAAAAAACACGGAGGCGGGATATGCTTCATGAATCGCCTGGACGAGAATGCCGATAGTACGACCAAAGGATGCTCCAATTGCCATGGATGGGACGAAAATTCCAGCTGGAACTTTGCATCCATATGAGATGATTACGAGGAACATTCGGATGATTGTTGCCAAAGTCAATGAAAAGACCATCTTCCATCGGTTCTCTTTATCACAAAGACCATTGTAATCCTCCGCACCTTCACATTCCAAAAACAAAATCTCCATACTCTCAGTCATATCGATTCGTAAAAACATGTTCGGATAGCAAATCAGAGCGGTTCCAGTTGCGAGCAAAGTCGCTTCAAGTATTGCATATTTGGTGAGATACTTCTTTCGAAATGCTTGTGCTCTCAGATTCCACTTGATCATAAATGCTCCATAAAGTCCACCAAATATACCTAATACGATGTAGAAAGTCACCTCGAAGAAATGCCACTCACGATCATAATGAACTTGAAACATGACAAGTTGGCCTGTTCGGAATGGGTTCATTGCCGCAAGAACAGCTGTTGCAACCAATGCGCAGAAATAACTTCGCCACATAGTCTTCAGGGGGAAGTATGAGGACATCTCTTCGAGGGAAAACAGAACACCTCCTATTGGGCTACCAAATGCCACAGCAACGCCAGCTGCTGCACAAGCACTTAAAATTTCCCGAGTTTTGGAGGCATTTCGTTTATATTTTTCGAAAAGTCTGGAGATAACATTGCCGGTACATACGGCATAATGAACACTTGGTCCTTCTTTACCTACTGATAAGCCAGATGCAATTGCTAGAGGGAGTGCAATTGATTTAATAATCAAAGTCCAGAATCCGAGAAATCCTTTCATGACAAATCCAGCGATGATACATTTTATCTCAGAAATTCCAGACCCAGCTGCATAAGGAGCAAATGATCTTACGAGGCTTGCTGAAGTCAATGCGAATATCGTCTGAAGAGGTCAGTATCGGTGCGACTAAATCAAACGAAGATACGTACAGCAAATAAAGTATATATCACATAATTGACTGGTGGGAAAGAGCTCCACCTATGCCAATCATCACATCCTATGCTTAATTAGCACCGTATTTTTCAACTTCTGGTCATAAACATGCCTGTATCTTCCCCCCAGCAACAAAAGCTCTCGTTGAGGTAAAATCCAGTCTTGCAATATCCCAACTTAATATCTGAAAGCCATTCTGTGATTATATTCAAAAATGCAGCATTGAGACCAATTGCAGCGCCTAAATGTTTTGCATCAGCATATTACTTTTCACCACATTTATACCATTGCGTACCTATAATAGTAACCACAATCCAAGCTTGCGCCGCATCATAAGATTCCCATAATTTATATCTCCAACCCGCATGTCCCCCTCTTTCAAAGAAGCCCGCGGTTTCTCTCTTTCGAACTTTCCTTCGTATTTGTTCTTTCGCCGCATCTTGAACCCAATCTTGAGAAGTGTCAACTTAGTTGTCGCAAACTGCATGCAAGAGGGGTATTACCTATAGTCGTGAAATCCTATAGAATTATAATTAGCGCAAAGCTTCCGGAGTGGGCAGTGTTAGTGCATAAGGTAGCATCATACCTCATAACGTTTGATTTCCTCAATTTCCTCATCTATCTGACGTTCTGCGACGTTCGGCACATTGGTAGCCTCGCCCTGTTCAGCACTTGAGACGGCAAAGGATAGACGATGGGAGAAAGAGGGACGTTGATGGAGGCGCGCTGATGGCACAGAGAAAGAAGATGATCGTGAGTTCATGGCCCCATTTGTACTGAAACCATTGTGCGGATGCTGTCATGATACATAAGAGCTCGATGTTCGAGATGGCTTACTGAGGGCAATCGGTATATGCGGTCGCTAGCGTCGGGTAAATGCACTCGGTAGTCAGTCTTTCTATCAGCGAAATAACAAGCGGAAATCAGCCACCATTTGAAAGAACGTTACCATTTCAGACCTCCCGTCTTTTTAACATCGTATTAATTAATAAGAATTCCAATTCTCAATATGAAAAATATCCAAAATTCTGTTTAGTCTCCTTAGATTTTAATATTTATTTTGAATTGACTTAATAATTCAACATATAAGTGATATTGAGATAAATTTCAAAAAGATCAGTTCCCACCTGATTTTTCACTTGCGTAGAAGATCAATCTCGCTTTATGATCACTTCGTCTAGATTTTGACGCCCATAGATTAGTTGCATCTTTTCCTGAGATCACGTCGAGAAGATTGGATACCGATAGCTTTGAGTAGTCTCATCCAATGCAGATCAACATTTCTCTTCAAATACATCTTAAGGTTAATGTTCAATCTTGAGTTGAAATGCTAGGTACCATTTGATATTTCTACGTGCTTGCTAGCTACCGTAAATTCTCTTCTTCTTCCTAAACTTCTTGCCGCATGCCACCTTAATTACAGGTCGTTCGTGCCACTATTTGAAGTTGTGAGCTGTACATGCTCTGTAGCTTGCTTCGTCCGAAAGTGTCAAGTCTCTCATACATTCTGGGTAATGCTTATCACCATTGACGCATTTATCTTCCGGGACCTGATCATTTTCCAGTACTTTTTTCCGGCTAGCTCGACATATTCTCCGGAATCCTGAAGCTTCTCTGCTTTCCCCAATGACGTGGGATGGGCGTCTACATGCTTTATTTCCACAAAGCTTGTTCTTAGTGAAATTGCTACCACTCGAAATGTAGCTCGCCTCCAGAGCTAACAAGCCTTCCTTGGGTGGCATGCGATTTGAAATGAGCAAAACGACCATCTCATCCAGCATTAATTGCCACTTATGAGTCATTAAGCAATGCAGGCAACCATATTTGAACTCGATTGTAGCAGATGCTATCGCTCCCTCTAGAATGCATTTTGTCGGGTCCGGAAATGCCTTGCTTTCTAGAATCAAAAGATTTTTGCGAATGGTAGCGAGAGTTGATTTCTCTTGAATACCTCTTCTGAAACACTCGCCATGATGAGGAGGAGATCTTTCTCCCGAAACCCTTATATGCGACTTGGATTTTTGGAGAATTTCCTCTGCCCATGCCATCTTCTTAACCCGCCACGCCTTTTCGTTCACGAGAGGTGAACGGTTTGGTTCTTGTTCGTTTGTAGAATCGTAATGATAGCCATTTGAGGACCTTTCAACCAGACCATCATCCACAGAGCCATTCTTTGCAGAAGCGTTCTCTGCAGCAATACTTTCTGTGTCACCGTTCTCTTCCTTCGGCTGGAAATAATCATGAGCATCGACGTCGGCTCCATCATCATCATCATCATCATCATCATCATCAGAAATTTCGATAACCTCCAGCTTGCGCTTGATACCGCTACCAGAAGCACTCTTTTCCGGGTTAGTCGTGGCTTTTCTGACGTCAATTGCTTCTCCCTTCATAGCGGCTGTGATTTCTTTGCTTTCAGTATAGCTCAGTACTGTTGTCCTTGCAATGATGGTTCCTGTCTGTATTGCTGCTAGGTCCATGTTGCTTTTGCTTTCGTTCGAATTTGTGACCCTCTGGGTTTTATTGTCCTGACTGTTATTGCTCATTCGAGCGTGCTGTATTTCAGTCATCGTCGTCTTCTGTGTATGTGAGCTTGCGACATTTCATATCATGCCGCCACGACCATGCAATATCTTTGCCTTTACTTTGGCTAGACTGAATATGCGGCGACCAACATGAAGTTGGACCTTCCCTGGACTCAACAACCTTTGCCGGCTTGTTTGATGGTAGCGTAGCTTTAGCTTCCTCGACTGCATTCACAATAGTGGACGCCCCCTCTCCATTTTCCGCAACCCCCTTACTTTGGCTTTCACCTCCACCCGCCACTTCTTCTAGTGTGGACTGCTTCTGCGTCGTCTCATTATTACTTTTCTCAATACTCTTGCTTGATGTGGCGGCTCCTTGCATAGTAGGTTGAGCTGGAGTACCAGAACGGAACTTTATAGCAACGTATGTTAACTGCTTATTGAACACACAATGAAGAAATTTGAACTTACTCTGGCAAGAACCCTCAAAGCTTTAACCTGGTCGTTTTCTGCAATCCAAAGGGCAAATTCAAGAAGTCCCACTGCATTCCCTTTATCACGTCGACTTTCGAACTAAGTTCATAATTAGTATAGTTGATGGTGAAAGTTTTGAAAGACTCATATAACGCGTAAATGCCTCGAATCAGGGGAAAAGTCCACAGGTAATCTGGACATCTCGAATCGTGTGTACACAATGAATGATATCAACATGCCACATCATTCAGCGCTTTCAAATATCATACCGAATCACTCACCCTTAAAAGCACATCTGCAGCCTCCCAAATGGATCCATTCGTATGAAAGACAGCGAAACGAATCAGTTCATTATCAAATCCCAACTCCGCAACATTTTCGACGTTCAACTGAGAATCTTCTTGGGCAGGCAGCTCTGAGGCAGCTCTATGTGCTAGAGGCTCACTTGCGCTTTTATTGAGGTCAGACATGGCGAGTTTGTTCTAATTGGATGGTCAAGATCAATTGAGAAAGTCAACTTGTTTTCTCGCTAGATACGTGGCGTGGATCTCTTGCGGGATAATTGTTCAATGTGTTGTCGTATCTGCTTCGACAAAGTGGGCGGAGAACTCGAGGCTGGTTTTGGTTCAATAGGTTGAAAGGTTCAGTGTGCGTAATGAGAAAAGGGTGGGGAAGAAGGCGGTTGAGGTTGGAGCAGCGAGAAAAGTGAACCAAATATGGAAAGGGGGGCGAGAAAAAAGTGAATATCTGATTAAAATTTAGCTATAGCGTTCTATCACTTATATCACTTCCACCGATATCGTATAGCATGATTAAGAACGTCGTTGCATGTCTTAAAAGTCATATAAATTGTCGATTTATTGGATGTTTAGAATAAATATACAAGGGAAGCTTTATGCACCTCGCTTAACACAATAATCCTCGATACCATCCTCCATATTGGGTGATGGTAGGCTACCATAGATAATTTTTTCCCACGTCATGATGCCCCTAATACCATATAAACACACAAGCACTCCTGCTAACACCGCAGAAGACACAAGGCCTTGCCGTTGCCGGAAATGGAATATCGTAACCCATGCAGACCTCATGACCAAACTGAATAATAAAACTCGTAGCAGGAAGAGGATGTTGTAATGCGCCGAAGACCAGCTTCGAAGTTCTCTTAAGTACAATGCACCGGAGGAGTGTTGTTTAAACTGAGTCGGGGCGATTTCGAATTAAAAGACTCTTCACCTAGTTCGAACGTCAAGGAGATTGCTCAGTTACCAGGCAAATTTCCAATGAAACTTTATTTGGTCTCGAAGTGAGTGATGATGCTGATAATTAGACCAAGCCAAGAGCAAAAACCGGGAATCATTCTACAGGACATGGGAGTTTCCATGTGACGCCTGACATGCGAGCTGGTGTACCAACAAGTTTGGAATGAGTACTTTCCTTTGTTGTTGGACCAGTAGGTAGACATGGAGGGTTATGAGGAAGACGACCAGTTCCACCTTGAAAACAATAACTAAGTCTGTTCCAGGCCTTGACGCGACATCCTCGACGTGGTTCAATACCAGCTGTGTTCTCATCTAACAAGTGCGATGGACGGGCACAAGACTGGTTATCACAAATGGTATTGCGATAACTCCGATGGAACCACGAATTAACCTCATCTATTGTGGGGGAGCTTTTCCGTGCATCAATAGGGCCAAATTTTCGTAGAGAAACTTTTCATTTGTGCTTACCTTTAACACAAGTACATCCGTTGGTAAGAACTCTAATGTCTGGATGAGATCTGTCACGACGCTTTTTAACCAAATATGAATACTTGCTGGGGAAGAATTCTTTCTCAATACCCATGATATGCTGATGAATAAAACTCCAATCCTCGTCGATTTTTATCGCTTTTTATCGCTTTTATGAAACAACCTTGGTCTTCAACCACTCTGGTCGACCGAGGTCCATGGCGTGGCCGAGCTGTAAGTGGTTTTTGGAGGTGTCGTAAAAGACTTTCTGCCCCTTCATCGGGGGATTCGTTGGGGTCATCGTTAGTTCCCAGCTCAGTCATTCCTTCACAGGCCTGGTCATGAGCACACTCGAATAATGTCTTCTTTTTGTTAACTATGAAACATTATCGGCATGGTGTCCAAACGATACAGAGGTTGACGCACCTGACCTGATGTTTCCGATAAGCTCTTGCAGCTTACCACCTTCATCGTCATCATCAGCAGCAGCAGCATAATGATCATCAGAGGAGTTATCGTCGAAGGGGTCATCAAGATCAGCTCTAGTACCACTGCCATCATCGTTATAATCATTATTGCCAGCACCGACACCTTGATCATCAACGACATTCGATTCATTCTCAATGGGGTCGATTGTCTCGTCATTTTTATCCGTCAACAAAATCGTTCTCTACAGTTTCTTCAACTTTCACCTGAGTGTCCACGAGTGTTGCGTTAGGTTTTGAATTGTTTGGTGAAACTCTGTGTGTGGAAGGATCCAGAGTTCTCTCTGTTTTGATACCATTGCCAGTCAGATAGACAATCTCCTTGTCGTGTTCCATTAGAACATTGGTTTTCACAGCCACTTCGCCACTCGCAAGAGCTTCCACGACAGACTCATTGAGTTTCGTTCTCTTCGGCACACTTGCTTGCGAGACAGAAGTATGGACATTCGTCCTTTTTATACCATATCGAATAGGACTGGTGTGTTGCTGGTGGCTTTTGCTTGGCCGCAGGTTTTTGTTGAAACTAGAATCTTGTTAGCTGAAAGTTTGTAAGGATCAGTTGACGCTTGAGCAATAAAAATATGTTTCAGCTATTGACTTCACGGCCTGGACGCGGTTGTTAATTGATGCCCACAGGGCAAGGTTAAGAAGACCCGAGTTGATATTGAGTTGGTTGGGCCAGGACTCGAACTGTTTCCTATCTCAGAATCTCAAATTCAAAGCAAGATCAGGGGACGTAAGCTACAGACCTCTAGCAAATTGTCTACAGCGTCGAATAAATCATCATTTGAATGATACACAGCAAAATCGGCCATTTCTCGATCGAACCCTAAGCTGTAGAGCGTTTCAATGGTCAAGTCACTATCTTTGGGAGAAGTCGCCATCTTGTGTTTAGGCATGGGTAGTTTTGGAAGGTCGGCGAGAGAGGTGTGGTGTGGTGAACTACAACACCCAAGAGAAGAAAGACGAGCCGACAAGCCTGGTGAATACTTTTGAAAGCTATCAAAATTGGCTAGCTGTTAGAAAAGGGAAGAGTGTCTCGACGCCTACAATGCTTTTTTCTAAACAAACAAACACACATGCAAAATCTAGCAGGCAAATGTTGGTAATAGGTTCTATTGTATATTAAATAACGTGTTGTCACGTGAAGCTGCAGTTTTCCGCCCATCTAGGACTTTCTCCTCAATGTAACATGAAATCCTTGTGGGTCCACTTCTCTGTAGCCTTTCTCTTTGCTTTCTTTGCGAAACTAATAGGACGTCTGCTCTCGACTTTTCCGCGAACCAACATATTTCTGTACCTATCTTTCAACAAGTTACCCTCGGGTTTCAGTAACCTCAAAGATTCTTGCAACTCATCTGGTAGGACGAGCTCAAGATCCCTCTCTGGCAAAGAAATCTTTCCCAATTTTCTTCTTCGCAGTTCCATATCATCGCCTTCACTACTATCGTCTTCCACAACCGTCAACGAGCGAGCCTTTTCTTTCTCCGCAAGAGCCTTGGCCAATTTCTTAATTTGTGCAGCTTGTTCCTCTTTCTGTTTGTTATGAGCAGCCATTTTAGCTTTCCTTTCCTCTTCCTTTCTCCTCTTTATCCTATTTCGCTGAGCTTGAGTTTTCCTCTCAGGCCTCTTAGCGTTCAAACGAACATCTTCTGCGCCACTCTCAAAACCTTCCCAAGCAGAATCTTCTTCCCACTCTGACATATCTGCTCGCGCTTCCGCAGCTTCTGCCTCGGCCGCAGATCTATTCGCAGCTTCTCGCTTTTTCTGTTCTAACTCAATAGCAGCCAATCGTTTCTTCTCCGCCGCAAGTTCCTTCTCTCCTTCAGTTGTTAATCTCTCTTCGTAATCTGTGAATACTGGATTATAACTGTATCCTCCTTCCGGCTTTTTGACTGCAGGAATGTCTTTTCCACTGGCTGCCAACGAGATTGGCTTTTGCTTCCATGAACGGGGGATTGTTGTCTTTTTTGCCTTCTCTAGAAATGAGAATCTTGGATCTTGTGTCGCTTCTTCTATGTCCTTCTGCTCGTCCCAAGGGTCGAATGAAGCTTCCGTGACTTCAACAGTCTTCTCTTGATGTCCATCGGCAATTTTGCGTAGTCGAGTAAGCTCTTTATGTGAGATATAACCGGTTCTTTGGCGCTTCGATTCGATAATTCCATCGGTAGTACCTTGTCCTGGGCGCTTCTTCATCGACACAGCTGGGACAGCAGAGCGTTGAGCAATGATTTCATCGGCTTTGAGTGGCTTGGAGGCTTTCAAGTATTTCTTCGGTATCGCAGCATCTCCAGCAGTATCCAAGGTGAAGAGATCAGCAGAATCCTTCTCAGCAATAACTCCACTGCAATTGCATTAGTGATATATCAATGATTGATTTACAGATGGTCTCTTACCCTGCAATCAATTCATCTCTAACTTCATCCAAACCTTCTTGGACTTCTGTAACATCGACATTCTTTCTCCAAGCCTTCTTTCCCTTCCTTGACTTTTGATTGTGTTGTTGAGGAGCATCTTTTGAGCCCGCAAGTGGTTTAAGGACAGGCATCTTGTTACTGTTGTGTTGCTGAGACTTTCGAAATTCTGGCGATTGCGAGAAAAATAAATTTGAGATTACGATAATTTTTCTGATAGCTACGGTAGCCTGTTCGAGCCAAAGGTCCAGCCTCGGCCGCCTCCAACAATTTACGGTCAGGCTATTGAAGCAAGCTTCTGAAAGTCGTCCTCCTTTGTTTGAAAGGCGATATCGAAGTAAATTTACGACTTTCAGAGATTCCCTGAAATCATCTTAATCAATTAATATAAACTTCTTGACCGTCTTCATATTCTGAAACTTCAAGATGGCGCAAGCAACTGGAACTTACAATAATCCCCTGAAGAAGTTCAAGTATGTTGTTTTCTGTCTTGTATAATACCACATCACTAATTATGATTGCAGATTGGTCTTCCTTGGGGAGCAAAGCGGTATGAACTTCATGCGGTATTCTATATGGTTGACAAGTTAATAATGGATTGCAGTTGGCAAGACTTCTCTTATTACACGTTTCATGTACGACTCTTTCGACAACATGTACCAAGCAACGATTGGTATAGATTTCCTCTCTAAAGTGAGCATTCTCCGAGCACCAAGTCCATAGCAATAAGTCTAATACTTTCTTCAGACTATGTACTTGGAAGACAGAACTGTGCGATTACAATTATGGGATACTGCTGGACAAGAGAGATTTCGAAGTTTGATTCCTTCATACATTCGCGATTCTAGTGTAGCCGTGGTGGTCTATGATATTTCAAGTACTATATTACAGTTGTCTTTCAAACTACACACTCTAATGTCTCGTCAGATCGAAAATCGTTCCAAAACACAAGGAAATGGGTGGACGACGTCAGAGGAGAACGAGGAAACGATGTCATTATTGTATTGGTTGGCAACAAGACAGATTTGAACGACAAAAGAGAAGTAACTACAAGCGAGGGTGAAGAGGAGGCAAAGAAGAACAACTTGATGTTCATTGAAACCAGTGCAAAACTGGGTCACAACGTGAAGACTTTATTCAAGAGGATAGCTCAGGCTTTGCCTGGGATGGAAGGCGCTGATAATGCAGCGACGCCGAACCAAAGTAAGTTTGAATGTGGCCAACGGTATTGGAGCGGCAGTTGCTAACCGTGGAAATAGTGATTGATGTTAACGTCAACCCAACTCCTGCAAGTCAAGAAGGATGTGCATGTTAAACGAGGAAGGTAATAATGGGAGTAATCAAATTCTTTTCGATGCTTGTCTTAATTGGGACTTTGAAAGGATTAGGAGCATAGCATTTCACAGCGTATTTATATGATATCGATAGCGTACATCTTTGGCGTACCTACTTAATGAGCTCTTGAAGTTATTGTAGACTAGGGGTAGAAAGCTAAGTGATCAGATTCTGGAATAAAAGAACACACTTTACCTCACTGAGTCTTCCCGTTATGAGTGCCCAAGGATGTATTACATGTTGAATCTACTGATCTGACACTTTTAAATCCTCATGCAGGCAATCCCATGATTTCAATGATGAACGCGACCCTCTCCGAACGGACAGAAAAAGCTGAACACCAAAATTCTACCTCGCAATCTAAATTTCATATCAAAATAATCAAGTGATGTTTCTTTTTTGAATTTCTGAACCCAACAATCTTCCAAATAACAATTTTTCTTCTTCATTGAACCGAAATTGAAAATGTAAAAATGGAATTTTAATTCGATCTTAATTTAAGAACCACTTTCAGGCTTGCTGTTATGTTTGCGGATTTGCTATTCGGTCTGTTGTCTATCGCGAGCCCCTTTAAGATTGTGCCGATCCAAATATAGGTACCGGCTTACATAAGCAACACCAATCCGAAGATCCGAAAACCCATCTTCCAAGTTATCAATCAGGAACGACTCTGTATATTTTCTTTTGGCGCATTGTTGAATCATTCTACTTCTCGTCGCAAAACATTGACGAGTCAAACTTCTACACACCTATACAATTTCATGATGCTCTCCTTACCGCAATGGGTGCGGGTTCCTCGCCCCAGGGTATGTAGTCTCTATTTATCGATCTTTTGTCGTCCATGGCAGATAGAACAATATTAATCAGTGAACAGACTTTCCTGTACCTCATGACTTTACGTACTGGGACGGAGATGATTTCATTGTCAATGATCTTCAATAAAGTTACTGGTTTTTACGGTCTTCTCGCAGTGCTTGCCGGCTTGAAACTGTCGCCTTTACAACTTTCAATGTACATATATTCCGTCGCGGCTCTCGCACTTACCGCGTTCCTTATGCCTCACATCCGCAAACAAACACCGTTTCAATGCTTAGCCCTCGCATGGTTTTACTTGTTCGACACGATTATCAACACCGCCTTCACCACCGCATTCGCTGTAACATGGCTTCTAGCCGTAAGCGCCGATCAATCTAATAAGGGTATTTCAAGCGCCGCTCCAGGAGGTAGCACGATCGATGAGACGGCAGGCTTTACAAGCCCAAAATTCAATGTCAGCGCAGTTAACGCTATTGCATCGCCTGCTTCGGGTGCTGGACAAGATGCGGTAGCATACGGAACTGCGGCTGGAGCAACTCTTGAGCAGAGTGTTGGGATCGAGGAAAGCGTTCCTAGTATCATTGTCGTTGGAATTCTCACATTGATTCGAGTCTACTTTATTTTGGTAGTTATGGCATATGCACGACAAGTTTTGAGGCAGAACATGTACTCTGCCTCTTCAACAAAATTACATCTTAACACGGATGGTAGCACCGACGCTCGCGCAGAAAATCCCTTTGCGATAGGCTCGCCACAAGGGCAAGGTTGGAAGGGTGAACTTGGTAGACTTATGGTGAAGGTTGGAGAAGGATATTGGCTTGGTGGCCAAGTAGATGAAGCATGGGTCAAAGGTTTAGATGGACGATTCAAGACCCAAAGGACGTTCAATGGACCTCCAGGTACCATAGAAAGAGAAAGAAGAGCGAGAAGTGGAACAGGACCACCTGTTCCTGCCAAGGGTCTCGGCATTGGGAAGTTGTAAGACTATCTTCAACTTGATGATGGTCGTTTGGACAGTGAGGAATAGATATGATAGATGGATTTCTATTATATTGGTACGATGACGTAAGCTGTATAGGAAAGCAATGGTGTAAACTGGAGGACGTCATTGGCATGCCATTCTGTTGATACATTTCAGAAGAGCTTGATGATCAATCTTTCGTAACCTCTAAGCTGGAAGAGGTTTTCATAGTACATATGGCGTTCTTTGGGTACATTGGTAGGGGGTGCTTGCAAGCAGTCAAACTTTTTTTGGTGGATTCTCGAATTGCTTATGGTCATGGAATAGGAAATCATTGATGACGGCAATTACTATTATATAATGATTTAGGAATTAATGCAAATTGATAGCTGCGTCCTGTAAAAACATCTCGTGTTCGGGTTCCAAGTCCAGTTCAACTTTCTTGCCACCAATATTGGCCTCGTTTCGATGCTTTCAGAGCCCGAATGCAACGAGGCAACTAAGAACCATTCAAGCGTCAAACCAACAACGCTTTAAAACTACACCAGGCACAAAACAAGACATCAACATGGGCAAGACGGGCTTTACTCGGAAAGTGCCTTATACTAAAGTGAATAAAAGCATTTCGGGATTCTTCTCCCTGGTTTATCTTGATATTCTCACCATCAAATATTTTGATCAGCATCGATGGCGTGCTCAGTTGTGGCTGGTGTTTTCCTTCAAAGCCGTTTTAGATGACAAACGATACTTTTGTTGATTTCTAATTGGTCAATCACAGGTCCCTTTCTCCATGAACTTATGTCCCAAACCCTTCCATTCCCTCACTATCCCCTCTGTTTACTACATACACTTGTTGACTATACCATAAATGACAATAAATTCACTGATTGCCGTTGGTCAAATACACTTGATAGCCTCGATAGCCTCGATAGCCTCCAATATCTAAAGATATACCCTTGTGTCATTCGCCGAATATCGCATCACATTAATTGCCCTAGGAGGAGGCACTTGATTAGGACGAGAGAAAAATATATTTGATCATGTCGTTCCTCTTTCGCAGTCTCGAGAACACCTCTAATACTTCATCTCATTCTCATTCTTCTAACAAAATGGCGACGAATTCAGGAAAGATTCGTACACCTGAAGAAGCTGGTATGTTCATACTCTGTGCTATCAGTTCTATCTATCAGTTCCACAACCCTGTTATGCGGCACCTTTCCCCTCCATTCACCCCCCCACTTCAAGAGATTCTATGACACTGATTTTATATTTACCATGAATAGTGGCAAGAATTGCATATTTGTCCAGCGATGTAATCGTTTCTGTACAGCCTGCTCATTCAATTGAGTCGGAGTTCTCTTCACACTTACACAGATATGCTGGGAGAAAGGATCTGAGTCTTGTTGCTGCAAATGAGAGTGGTGTTCCAGAGGTAAGTTATCCCAGGTTACATTCATCTTGTGTGAATTGAAGTATTAACGTGATATTCATCTAGTTACAAACGATTCGACACAACAATGATCCTTTATTATCAGTATTTACACCAATCCGCAATGGAAAACTTGTTACAGTCACCACAAGTTCCTCAATCCTCGTTTCCTCCGTACCCCACCTATACAGACTCGCCAACTTCCCAGTGGTCATTCACGTTTCATTACAACCTTCACAGTATCCAGATTACTCTTCGATAACTTCGATACGAAATTCTGGCTTCACATTTTTACAATCTGAGACATTGCAGGAGGCACAAGATATTGCTGTGACTGCACATGCTCTTGCTATTAAGTCAGGGAAAGGTGTCATTCATTTCTTTGATTCCAGATCGGCAGCCAGCGATGAGGATGTTGATTTCGAAGACCCCAATGTTGTCTCAAAGATCTTGAACATCGATTCCGTGAGAGTGTTTCAAAGTAGCAAGATTGGAGGTTCTAGCATATATGCCGATGATGGAAGAATTGCAACTATTTCCGAGAACGTTGCAACAGGCGTTACGTCTGGAGGGGAGAACAGTACTGAGTCTGCTGTACCAGGCCAGACAACCACTGAGGTACCATCTAAGGCTTCATCTGTAGGGTCCTCGAAATCTTCTTCAGTACGAGCAAGCAGTGTGGATAGCAGTGCTTCTTCTGCTACAACTGTTGATGCGCCAAATGTACGGGCTGTAAGCTCGGACGATATTTACAACTTTGTCTCTGGCATTTGGGATCAATTGAAGTTGATGGTTGGCAGAGAGTATACTCCTTTCCAATACACTGGTCCATCGAATGCTGAAAATGCCTTGTTCATTTTTGGATCAGACGTTGGATTATTTGGTCGAGCGATTGATGAAGGGACCGATGAAGTTTTTGCAAAAGCTGGTATCATTACTGCACGTTTGTATAGGCCATGGTTGGGCTCCAAATTAATTGAGGCGATCCCTAGATCTATTAAGAGAATTGCTGTTCTCGAGCAAATTAGAAGAAAGACAACTAAATGGGGACCTCTACTTTTGGATTTACTTACCACACTCAAATCGGGACCTGGAGGCGGTGTGGAAGTTATCGTCGGACACCAATTGGGATTTATTGAGCCCGATACAGTACGACAAGCACTTCGTGGTGTTGTACAAAATTTGGTTTCTGAGAAACCGGTTCAGAACTTGGAGGTCGGGAATCCCGATGGACCTAATCAAGCTTCAAGCGGTTCTGCTTTAAGCCAACCAAAAGTCGAGTCTGCTTATATGAAGATCTTGGACCAGGTCTTCGGTAAGAGACTTCATTTAGCAAATCAAATCGATTCCCAAAATGCTGGAATCTCGTCCACTATTGCGTCAAATCCAGAATTTGGTTTTGGTTCCCTTTTAGCTAGAAAGGAGCATCGTCAAAGGTTTACCGAGGAAATCAAGGAGGCGGCCCAATCTAAAGAATTTATCACAGAAGCACCTAAATCATGGTTATCAAAATGGTCTGCAGGTGCCAGTGATGATTTAGCAGACGAAATCATTGCTCGCCTCGAAACAGATGGATCTGCGTTATCACGAAATTTACTGTCAAAGAAGGGATTATTCCGCAAGGAATCCCCTTGGCTTGTTGGCTCTGATGCTTGGGCGTACGACCTTGGAAACTCTGGTGTACACCATGTCATTGCATCCGGTGAAAATGTCAACATGCTCATCATCGACTCCACACCATACTCTGAGCGCTCAGCCGCTGATGCCGAAAGAA